ATTCTAAATTGAAAGTTTGTTAAAGCCAGACTTAAATATTTTATATTTAGTAGATGTTTATTGATGCTATTATTTTTATGAAACCATCATGGTTCACATAGATCTAGCTTGTAATTTGTGTTTTTGATAACCCAAATCAGTGGACAATTGATCCAAAAATACAACGTAATTTCAGCAACTTACTCACAAAAAGAATGCTATTCCCACTTTTTTAGAAAACTGGAACAAAAATTGTCATTTGGCTTAGAACTTGGAAGTTCCTAATCTAATAACTATTACAAAAAACAACAGTAGTACCTAATTATTGCCTATGCTGGCAAAGCGTGGGTGAGACCAATGACAACCCAACTGCTTATACTCTTTGCATCTTGAATGATGCATGCGCATATTTAACTTTTTAGAATAGACAACTGAGTTAAGGTTAAAAGAGTTCACTACAATTGTGGTGACATTATTCCTAGATTTTGTACCACAACTGTACTTGTATTCTCAGATGATTCTAAGGAATTTACTACTTGTATTGGATAATTAGCATGAGCATTATTGTGAAGACAATTTTAAAAATTAATTATTTTGAATTAGACTACACATGTTATATAACATGACGATATGAAAGTTGATATCCCGAGACCGAGGATACATTGAATTGATATCACCCTTGGGCCTTCGGCCCTTGGGTGATATCAATTCAAAGTATCCTCGGTCTCAGGATATTGATTCCCATATCATCGTGTTATATATAACATATATATATATAAGAATAAGCATAATGCATGCAAAATACATGTATCACTTGTAGACTGATATCATTTTTAAAACTTAAACTTACTAAAGTAGATCTATAGTAGACTATTATTGGAAGTGTGACTAAGCCAATTACTATGACAAGAAGAACAATGAAAACAACATCCTCAATTTTCTTTGCAATGACCAGCTTCTTACTTTTACTGCACATCTTGTGATTCACAGTGGATGTATCTACAGACCTATCTATGATATTTATAACTTCTGGTCAGCCTAGCTCCTCCCTAGACCCCGGTGTTATGCATCCTTTAAATAGTTAAATAGATAGTCATAATAGACTATCTGTACAAGCACACTTTCTTTTATTAACGGTGTACTGCTGTGCTATTATAGTGTAGTTTTAGTATATTTAAGGTTATGCCAAAGCACAAATGTGTATATTGAAAATGTAATGAAATAAATAGATCCAACCATTATTAATGAAAAGCCACTCTGCAGCAAGTTATTGTTTAGCTTAATCCAACATTTTACATATTGCACACAAAAATTAAAGGTCAAAATTATTAGTAGCTATTAAAAGTCAAGTTATGCACAGTGTTTTCACTTATCTCTGCACTTTTTTCTGACTTTGACAAAGTCTCATCTGGAACACTTTCAGAGGAAGTTATGAAAGAACTTTTTCCACGATACAAGAAACTTGAATACCTCTTTGTCAATTTTACTGCTTTGTTTCCAGTGCTTTTAACTGAGCTCCACTTAAGTATGAAGTTCAAAATGCTCAATGGTATCAAACTCATTAGCATGTACACAATGATACTCATGTAAGGGCTCTCTTCAAATGTTCCTCTATCACATTTTCCAGGAACATAACCAAATGCTTCGCATTCAAAGTATTCTCTTAAAGCTGCTTGAAACTTGCCAGCTTTTGCTGTTGTGTCACTTACATGCCCTAAAATAAAAACACCAAAAATAATAAAAGATGTGAAAACCAAGAGGATTTTTTTCTCTGCAGTGCTGAGCTGGGTACGACTTTTCTTTTTCAAGAAATTAGTTTTCTATCAACAAAACAGAGTATTTATATAAATTCAATATTGTAGTATACATACTTTTCTGATAGTCCAAAGAATTATAATTAGCATCATAACACCAAAAGCAAGTAAAATGTCTATTGGAAGTGTTACAGAATAGAACCACATGGCACCATTGCTGATGCAAAGAGTTGTTGGGAAACGATGAATATTATATTTGAATTTGTCAACAGAAAGGCAAATGATAACAGCTGGCAATGGAAGTAGTATAGCTTTATTAAGAAAAGGAATTATTTCATGATTAGTAAATACAATAATACTCACACAAAACGGTCACAGTTGCAAATATGTACTTGCTACGTCCAAGCTTTTCAAATCTATTTGCTTGGAAGGGAAACAATACTTTGTGAAAGAATATAGCTACATGAAAAAACCACCACAGTGCCAAATTTACAATAGCGTAATGAAATACAACTCCTATATACATTGAAAATAAAAGTTTTAGATAAGTGATTAATTTTACCTGAAAATTTACAAAAAGGAGTTGGGTTTTCAAGTGTCTCCAATAGACTAACTGAACTACAGTATAATCCATACCGATCAATAGCAGTTATGATTAGTACTATAACTATAGATATGGATGCATAGATCTACAATGAACATAAGATTACAATTCCCTTTACCTAATACAATCATGTCTAAGACTTGAAAAAATACCAACACAGAAGGATATACTAGCCTGCAATGATAGACATAATACAATATTAGATCTATAGTTTGGAATTATAGTTGCTAACAATGTTTTATATTCCTTGACAGCAACAATAATTGTAACAACACAAAAAATTAAGCCCAGACCAGTTGCAACAACTTCTGAATAGATCAGTATTTGTGAGTTTAAATGAGAAGTTTGTTCAAAACTGTCACATATTGGCTCACAGATAAACTCTGTTTTAACAAAATCTTCCCTGCACACTATACCATCAGTACCATTGGTATCATTTATGCCTTCAATTGGAATTGGGACAGAAGATGAATCGTTGGCAGCTGTATAAAGCACAAATTATTAGTATAAATAGTATAAATAGATAAGATGATTATCATACCATTTGGTAGTGTAGAACAATCAGGTAAGAGTGAGCCATACCCAAAGTTGTTTGCTAGTGCCCACACGTCTGAACAAACACCTGTACTTATGAGGAGGCAGTCTTCCTTGGTTGCCTTGTAAGATTTTCCAGTTGAGCAATCAGCAAGTGGAAAAAAATATTGACATATAAAAGCTGATGATTGCTGTTGACATTGCTTGTAATGCTCTATAAAAATTGTATTAAAATAATAAATTTACTTATAATGCTGTGACATTACCTAAATAAAGACTGAGTGATCCGATTGTCCCTTCATGTTGATTTTGTTCTTGTTGACTTACTCCAATATTCAATTCATCTTCTCCAATGGTACATTGAAACCATTGATGTAAGAAGTTTCTACAAGCAGTTCCAGTATACTCATGACATTCTGAGACATCATTATCCTGACTCCATGATAGTCTGGTGCAGTTCTGGCTTACATTATTGTTGCTGATTGTACCTCCTTCACTAAAATTCCCGTTGTTATTGTTGTCTGACTCAAATGTGTTCTAAATTAAAAAGTTTATTTAAGCCGGACTTATAAACATTTCATGCTTAGTAGGTGCCTACTCATCATAGTTAACATAGTTTGTAATAGCTGTTAAATAGACCCATTACTCTGTTAAATTGATGTGTGAGAAATTTTAACCATGACAAAAAGTCAGTAGAATGGTTAACTTATATTTCTAGTACTTCCTTTGTTTTGATGACATTACTATAAGATTTCTTAGCTACTATACCACATCTGGCATTGTATTTTTAGATTGCATGCTCAAAGGAATTTACTACCACATGTATCTAATCAGGCAATTAGCAATGTATGATTGTGAAGATATAAAGTTTCATTACTAACTACTTTAAATCACAAACATGACACAAATGAGTGAGCACAATCCATGCAAATATTTTTGTTAAGATAACCAAGATTATCACAAGTATAAATTTAGACCACTACTTACTGAAGTAGATCTATAGTAGACTATTATTGGAACTGTGAATAAGGCCAGCACCACAAAAAGAAGAACAATGAAGAAAACATTCTCGATCTTCCTAGCAATGACCAGCTCTTTCTTCTTTCCTGCACTGGACATTTTGTGTAAAGTTGTGTTTGTGTCTAGCTAACTAATGATATTCATAACTTGTGTAGATCTAGTCCCTCCCCTAAAATTTATTTAGCAGCATGGTGTGTGTTGCACACCACCACTTACAACTTTTAAACTTATGACAAGCATGCAGTGTCCATAAAACAACCATCTCATAATATCTCCATTGTTATAAGGGTTAACAATTTTGGCTTTTAATTTTATATTTATTTTAAATCTGTATCAATAAATTATTATTGCTCATTTTATACAATAGATTTGCATGACTTATTACATGGATATTTACAATCTTTTACACTCTTTGATCCGTCTCTGTTAAAATACCAGTTACTAAATGTAGTAGAAGCAGATTGACCTTTAACAAAAAAATTTCTCCATGGAATCGAAATAAGTGCTTGACAATGTATTAAACAGGAATCAAGAAATGCCCCATCTTTTGCTAATGAAAATATAGGCTCAGAAGCCTTGTTAAAATTCTATAAAATATAGTAATTTTTATTAAAGAATTATGCTAGCATTATTTTACTTCAACGAAATTATAGAAGTGCTTCATATCACTCTCTGTGCATTTTGGTGGCAAGCATTTAATACCCAATATATTTTTCAGTTGCCAAATGTCATTCATTGAGTTCAGTGTGAAAATAGGAGATGATATATAACGATATGTGTACTAAAAAGGATTTTTTTAAATGCTTGTCATCATAATTATTATTATTAAACCTGAGCCATGAAGCACTTCCAAGTTTCATGGGTTGATTCATAGGCAGCAATGCAATCTTGATCAACCCCACCAGAACAGTTTTGTAGATAAAATACTATAAATATCATAATAAGTATTACAACTATATACTATAAGCTGCTCACCATTTTTAAACAAGTATCTCATATACTTGAAGCCATGTTTATTAGGAGCATCAATAAAGTATCTGCATCAGAGTTGATATTGTACAGTTTATAATAATTTATTGTTTAATGAATTATCAGTGTCACTAACCCTGCATCAGATATAGCTCTGTACTTCACAGAAGGAGGAAACAATGATCTGATGTAATCAGCATGGAGATATGTAGCTAATCCACCAGCTAATTAGTAGTTTGCTTTATATTAATTGATTGCACTAGTCTACAATGATGTACCTGAACATCCAGTTAGTATAAACTCTTGTGCATTTTTCATTCCTTTACTCATTAATGACTGGATAATTGCTTGAAGTATCTTAAAACCACGAAAGTATATATCCGTTCCGTGCACTTTAACTGGTTTTTCACTATATAAGAACAAGGAATGATTTATCTAACTAATTAAATGCCCCCAGATATGTATTGAACCCCTGACACTACTGCAATCAAACTTATATCACTAGATCTAGTTTGATTGCAAATATAAGACTTAAAATATTATCATGTTGGATGACAAGTTTGAGCTGATTCTGGTCAAAATTGGATTTTTTTTACAAATTTTTGAAGTTGTTCCAAAATTGGGCCAAAGTCCCTGTACTATACTACAGCATGGACTTTGGCCAAATTTTGCCAAAACATGAAAGGAGTGAATTTTCCAATTTTAAAAAATTTATTATGGCAAACGTACACATAGCCAGCAAAGGAAGCTCCATCACAATATTGAACTTGTGCCATGTTCCAGTTATAGAAGTCAGGATTCTTTTCTTTTGAATCTGAAAACATGCCGGCATTATTAAAGATCATAATTTGTGGCCAGTCTCTTGATGACCCTAGATACGACCTGCTTCGAGCTAGACAGTCTTTCTTATTATAGCACCAGGCACCACCTTGCAAATGAACCACCCAACTATTAACACCAGATCCAAAGCCTATTCATAATATAACATATTTATAATGTAACAGAACAATGTCATTTAAAAACTAGACCTTTTCTAAAATAATATCCTGGAGGTGATCCATCAAGACACACAGCCTCTCCTGGGTTTTCTATTAGAACAAGTTTCCCTTCTCTGCTACATTCAGTATTGTAGACAAGGAAAGACAGAGCAAGTGAGAATACCAAAACAGACATTGCTCTCTTCCTTTCTTCATGTATTTTATGCAATATTATAATTATAATTATATCTATGCGTGGCACAGGTGACAGCCAAGTGTAGTACTATGTTCCCTTTACTTTAATGACACACATCCAAGTATAGTCTATAGTCATACAACCCAATAAAGGAAAAATAGTGCACTGTACATGTGCATTATGCATGGTGAAGTTAGCCATTGGTTTCTAAGAGGAACAAATTGTATTGTCCTTGTAGTTTTTTTATTGTTTATACAAGACCTTGTTAATGCTTTTGAGATTCTGAAAGTTTACTTCCTCTTGTTTGCACTTTAAGGTGAAAATTAGTGCTGTCCCACAAGAGATTTAAAGTTAAAGAATCAGCGGCCATTCTGCAGTTAAAGTCCCTTATGTCAATTCACTTTCAAATTAAATTATTCATTTATACTTCTTTGATATAAATTAATTAGTTTATAATATAACAAATTAATCAGTAATCAAGTTGTATAATATTGTATAATATACTAGAACTCTAGCAGGATTTATTGCAGGGATAAGGACAATCCACAACATTCTTCAGTCCTTCCTTTTTGAAGTACCAGTTGCTAAATGTAGCAGCTGCAGTTTGACCTTTAACAAGCCTACCATTCCAGCCATAAGAGCTCATAGATTGACAGTGCTTTAAACAAGAATTGAGAAATGCTCCATTCGTAGAAGAAGATATTACAGGCGCAGCTGCAACTTTAAATTCCTATCAGTCAAAAATAAAATACCTTAATAACTTAAACAATCATAATACTGCATTTACTTTAGTGAACTTATAAAACTCCTTCATTTGAGTAGCTGTACAACTCGGTGGCAGGCAATCAAGCTCCACTATGTTTTCCAGTTGCCATGTATCAGTCAGAGAATGCAGTGTAAAGGTAGGAGATGATATATAAGGATAAGTATACTAAAAAATAAAATTATAATGCATAGATTTAGCAATGTATTGTATACCTGAGCCATAAAGCATTTCCAAGCGTCATTGGATCCACTATAAGCAGCAATACAATCTTGATCAACCCCACCAGAACAATTCTGCATATTGAACACTATATACAAAAAATAAACAGTTGTTTTCAATGTTATACATGGAGCTAACAATTAGTGTAAACGCTCCTTATGTGCATATCACCATCAACATTTGGAGCATCAATGAAGTATCTATACAATTAAGAATTATAAAATAGCAACTTACTATTATCATGTTATTTTTGATTCCTTACCCAGCATCTGGCAGTACGCGGTATTTTACAGAGCGAGGTAAGAGGGACTTCACACGGTCAGCATGAAGAAATGCTGCTAAGCCACCAGCTAAAGCAATGAGATGTAGTCACATTTTTGGAGCCAACTTTTGGATAATTACATAAATTAATATTATATAAAGTTTAATATAATTATTTTATTGATTGTAAGATCACGCTTTTTACCTTTAAATGCATGCATCTAGATATACTTAACTGAAAATTTTCATCAGATTTCAATGTATCATAGTTCTATAGTTCTACCTGAACATCCAGTGAGTATAACTTCTTCTGCACTGTTCATTCCACCATCTTTCAATGATTGTATGATTGCTTCAAGTATTTTAATGCCTCGGAAATATATAGAGGTACCACTAACTTGCACTGGACTCTCACTAATAATAAAATATAAAACAATAATAATGATGATAATAATAATAATAATAATAATAAGTAAGCTTACACATAACCAGAATATGATGCTCCATCACAGTATTGAACATGGACTACATTCCACTCATAGAAGTCAGGATTCTTTGTCTTCAGGTATGAGAGCAAGCCAGAATTTAAATATGTATAAGGAGCTTTTTGTGGCCAATTTTTTGAAGACCCTAGATCAGTTTTGCTCCACTTAAGACAGTCATCTTTATCATAGCACCAGCCACCACCTTGCAAGTGAAGTATCCATTTATTGACACCAGAACCAAAACCTAGATATACAAATTAAATACAGAAAAGCATGAATCACATATTAATATCATGATTTAATTATGAACTTCAACCAACCTTTTCTGATATAATATCCTGGAGGTGATCCATCAAGACAAAGAGCCTCTCTTGGATTCTCAACTAAAACAAGGTTTGCATCTCTACATTCAATGATGCAGAGAAAGAAAGACAGGGCAAGACCATATGCAATGAGAAACATTGTGTTTCTTCACTCGCAAATGCTACAATAGTCTGAATAGTATAAATAGATTTTGTTGCAATAGACATACAATAGGCTGCCAAATTGAGTACTAGATTATTCTGTAAGCCAATTTTCACTTTTAGAGAATAGCAACAGGAAAATTGGTGCTTTATACTTGCCATCAATGTGCAATTGTGCATTGATTAATGATTAATTAATGTATAATTATTCTGAATCAATACGATTATTAATAATAATAGCTGGACCTAAGAATAAAACCAGCCCACAGTATTATTATGAAATGGTAGAAAAATAATAAATCATTAAATGATGAGATTAGCTACATATATTGAGTTAGGCATGCAGACTGTAAGTTTTCTCTACTTTTCTTTTTTCAGTAACCTCAGGGTCAAGTAAGTTAGAGAGAAGAATATCGTTACAATTCCAGCCAGTCCAATCCAGTCATAGAACAACCAGTCTGGATTGAATCCTTGTATTTCAAGCAATTCCTCACCCGGGACAGAACGGACTGTATTATTACTAAAGGAAAAGGAAACAATACAATTATAAAGTGGCTTGAATGACAGACAACAAAATGGATAATACAAAGATCAATTAAGTTGTACATCAGCAAAACGCTATGTGTGCCAGTGGTGGCAATATAATCTTAACAAAAGTATAAAAAAGGTTCCAAAACTCATTGTCAGAGTCAGCTCAAACTTTCTACATAGCATAAGTACATCAATATTCAGCAATCAAGAACACTCATCAAAATATCACACATGCACATGTAGATTACTATACTATAACTTACAATGTGAGATCAAAGACAAGACCATCCACTTCGTTAACAACCAATGCCTATTGACATGATTCATAACACACAGTAGGAGGATATACTAAGACCTACCTCAACAGCATATCTGAAGACTGAAAAGTATTGGAACCATCTTATCCAAACAGGCAATGACTCCAAAGTGATCAGAAAACCACCAAACAACTGAATAATAGACCAGGGTATTATTATCATGTAGTGTAGAAATATTATTGATTTCACTAATGAGCTATGATACACATTCTATGTGCCAATGTTTAGTTAATAATAATAATAATAATAATAATAATAAATAATAATAACAATTCCTATTATATTGTTTTAACTATTGTATGTGCCAATAATGTGGCAATAGCATGTACATCTACATGCATGATATAACAATTAGCAAGTACATGTACAATTAGCAAGTACATGTACATTTGTACATTGATACGACGAACTCACCATTTGAATGACAAATGACATGGCAACAAACAGAGTAGCAAGACCAGTCACACGGAACATGGCACTGAATAGAAAAGCAATGGAAGAGGCAGCAAGTGTGGTCAGGAAGAGTGTCAGGAAGAATATGAAGAACTTGTCAGCAGCAACCTGAAATCCTAGAATAAAAGAGACTTCTTTATCAATGTGAGATACAAATCAATAATATACATGTACATGTACTGTATTTTCTTAAATAAAAGCCCTCAAAAAATTAAAAAAATAAAATAAAATAACTTAGGCCCAGAGCAGGATTCAAATCAGTGATCGCAAACATATGACTTCAGGAACTTAAGGCAGTATCCACAAGGCTACTGAGTTACTTCAAGGCTAGATTTGCATATTTATAGTTGAACTCTATCGCTACCCTGGCGTTCATTTGCATACAGCTTTTATTTAAGGAAATACGATACATGTATATTAGTGAAAAAATGTAATGTAAATGTAATTTTTAAATGTACTACTACTAATATGCACTAATGTACATGTAGATGTGAATGAGTCTGCTTATTTTTGTATGGTCACCATTGAGTTCTTGTATATCTTACCTAACATGAAATATGCAACAGTTGAAAAGAAGATGAGAGGTATGAGTCTCAGAGGGAATATGTCACACAATAGTTTAGCAACGAAATAAACTGATACACGATAGAAACCACTAGCATTCTCGTGTCTAAAAATAATTTTTAAAAATACATAAAATAATGTATACAAAATATTGCTATTGCGGCACTTTATGGCAGGTGTACAGTGCTTACATGAACAATGCTTTCTGCCTTATGAAAATATCCACAGCATTCATGTTGCTAAATATCTGATTCATTACCATGAAGAAGATTGCACCAATCCTACACAAGAATAGGCATTATTTTATACAATACTTTTACAAAGCATTAAGGCCATTAAAATATAAATTATATTATTATTAATTAATTATAATCATTATTATTATCAAATGTATACTCCCACTATTACCTGTTCTGATATCCATTGGGTCCAGTGTCAATATCAAAATACAACGCACCAACCACAACACCAAATATGATATTAACAATAATCTATACAAAGAATAAAAGAAATAATAAATAATATATGTACATGTACTGGTACATGTACCGTATTTGCTCTAATAAAGGCCCTACTCAAATAAGCGCCTATCACTAATATATTACCACTATAAATATGCATATTTCAGCCAGTGTTATGTACATGTAACTTGTGGTTAGAGTGGTCCAAATAGCCTAACTGTTCAGCCTCAGGCTGCGTTTACACGGCAACGAAAACGATGCAATCTGTTCAGTTTTGTGCCTGTTTTATGCTTCTGTTTACACAGAAACGATTGAAAACGTGATAGAATCTTGATAGGACTCTATGGAAACGAAAACGGTGTTCAAAGTGTATCGTTTTAAAAACGATACGTTTTGCATTGCTGTGTAAACGCAGCCTCAGTCTTCAGAACATAGAGTTGCAGGTTTGAGCCCGGGTTTTGGATTTTTTTTTTGTTGTTTTTGTGATTTTTGCCTCTATTAAGCAATAAACGCCTAGGCCCTTATTCGAGGAAATATGGTACATTATCAGCTAGTAGTACATGTACATGTACATGTAACAATACACTAATGTAATTGTGCTGGTAATGGACGGTTAAATTGACAAACAAAAGTGACTTCTGTAAGGTATACATGTATATTATAACATGTAGGATTGATTGTTAGTAGCTTTGTATTTGTTAGATATTTCGTACATGTACATGTACATGTAGTTGGTACCTGTATAACTGAGAGTTGAGGATTACGCAATATATTCAAGATGGACCTCACAATGACAACAAATAACTAGAAAATAAAGCAAAAAAAAATTGTTTTAGTAACAAGAAAAATGGAATTAAAATATACATAAGTGAACAATTAAAATCAGCCAAAAAGAAAATACATGTACATGCATGTATGCTAAGAAAGTATGGTAGCTAGCTTATGTTAACAACACTACAGTACATGTACAAGTATATATGTACATGTACATGTACTATGATTTATACCTGCCAAAATACATTGGTTACATATCCATACTGAGAGCGTATCTTGACTCCTTCTTGTTTCTCTCTCTCCTTAAACTCCTCTATTATGATGCTCGATTTCTTAGCGTTGTCCTGACCCAATTGTGAGCGAGTATAGCTTGAAGCAAGAGCACAACCAGACTCATCAACTATCACATATATTTGATTGTAAATTGTTAGAAGAATTTAGGAAAAGCATCGACTATAGCCCATGGTTTTGTCAAAAAATGGCTTCAAAATCACCCCAAATTTTTATTAGATTTTCTGATGTATGTCCTAGCTTATGTTATGTAGAAAGTTTGAGGTGGTAATTTTTGGAAAAACTATGGGGCTATTTATTTGAAATGTGCTCATAACATTCCTAGGAATTTTATGCCGGATTCACTTCAAACTTTCTACACAGCATAAATACATCAATTATGTATCAGAAAATGTAATAAAAATTGGAGGTGATTTTTAGCCATTTTTTGAAAAAACCATGAGCTATAGCCTTGGGTATTTTTGGATTTTGGCTACTTTTAAAAATTGGTCATAACTTGAAAAGTTGAACTTGGAATCAGCTCAAACTTGCTATGCAGCATAAGGACATCAATATGTATCAGAAAATGTAATAAAAATTTGGGGTGATTTCGGAGCCATTTTTTGGAAAAAAACATGGGCTATAGCCTTGGGTATTTTTCAGATTTTGGCAAATTTCTTTAAATGGCTGTAACTCAAAAAATTGAACTCGGAATCAGCTCAAACTTGCTATGTAGCATAAGGACATCAATATGTATCAGAAAATGTAATAAAAATTTGGGGTGATTTCGGTGCCATTTTTTGGAAAAAACAATGGGCTATAGCCTTGAGTATTTTTCACATTTTGGCAAATTTGTTAAAATGGCCGTAACTTGAAAAATTAAAGTCAAAATCAGCTCAAACTTGCTATGTAGCATAAGTACATCAATGTGTATCAGAAAATGTAATAAAAATTTGGGGTGATTTTTTGGCCATTTTTTTTGGAAAAAAGCATGGACTATAGCCTTGGGTGTTTTTCACATTTTGGCAAATTTGTTAAAATGGCCATAACTTGAAAAATCAAAGTTGGAATCAACTCAAACTTGCTATGTAGCATAAGGACATCAATATGTATCAGAAAATGTAATAAAAATTGGGGGTGATTCGGAGCCATTTTTTGGAAAAAACCATGGGCTATAGCCTTGGGTATTTTTTCACATTTTGGCAAATTTGTTAAAATGGCCGTAACTTGAAAAATTGAAGTCGGAATCAGCTCAAACTTGCTATGTAGCATAAGGACATCAATATATATCAGAAAATGTAATAAAAATTGGGGGTGATTTTTTAGCCATTTTTTGGAAAAAAAGCATGGGCTATAGCCTTGGGTATTTTTCACATTTTGGCAAATTTGTTAAAATGGCCGTAACTTGAAAAATTAAAGTCGGAATCAACTCAAACTTGCTATGTAGCATAAGGACATCAATATGTATCAGAAAATGTAATAAAAATTGGGGGTGATTTTTAAGCCAATTTTTGGAAAAAAGCATGGGCTATAGCCTTGGGTATTTTCACATTTTGGCAAATTTGTTAAAATGGTCGTAACTCAAAAAATTGAAGTCAGAATCAGCTCAAACTTGCTATGTAGCATAAGGACATCAATATGTATCAGAAAATGTAATAAAAATTTGGAGTGATTTTTTAGCCATTTTTTGGAAAAAAGCATGGGCTATAGCCTTGAGTATTGACTCAAATTTATCACATTTTGAGATACAATATTACACCAAGAGTATACTGTTTTGATAGCACTTACTCTTAGTGTTGGATTGTTTCTTCATTTCTCTTTCACAGCGATTGATGACATCCAATAAGAAATCTGCAGGATTGTCATGTTCCTCACACGCATAACCTAAATAAATCCAGAAAATAAAGATAAAAATACAGACAGAGAAAGAGAAAGAAAGAAAGGGGAAAAAGAAGTTTAAAATTAAAAAAGAAATAGGCAAAATCAAAATCTGTATTAATGTACGTGTACATTCATTAAATTTTCATTGTTTGTCCCAAAAACAAATCCCACATCAACTACATACAGCACGTATACATTATACATGTACATGCACGTGTACATATATGTGACCATAATTGACAAAAGGTACCTTATGGCGGGTAGTGAAATTTGTCTTTCTAGCCTAAGAATTCCAACTTCCTGAGCCCCATCTATCATAAAATTACTCCACAGGATGCAAAAAGTTACCATGAAACTTTTAGAAACAATGATTGTCTAACAAAGCACTCACAGGTTGATATTTGCCATTATTAAGATCAATTTTAAAATCCGCCATAAGGGCCCTTTTGTCAATTATGGTCACATATGGTATTAATCATCATTAACAAATAGTCATTCTACATACATCATACTCTTATTCTAATGATTCTATACTTACCCAATCTGTTAAAGTGTTCCAATACTTCATACCGTCTTCCATGATACACCATCTCACCTTGTGACAACAGAGTGAGTGTATCAAATTGTTTATAAATGGAGTAGCGAGGCTGATGAATGGAGAGTACAACAACACGATTATTGACTGAAGATATGCTACACAAATAAAAAAAAATGAAAAAAGAAATTACACATTTAAAATGAACTTTATGAGTAGTACTAAATTAAATAAAAATAGCCAAGAATTCTATCATCATTACTGAATTCATTATTAAAGCCTGGTTTACACTCGTCATAAAACGTAATACAAATGAATGTAAAATTAAAATTAAGCTAATTTTGCATCAACTTGAAAGTGTTTTCGCATCAAAAGGTCAGATCACCCACGCACTTTTTGACCGTTTTGTCAAAATAAACCTAGCTTAAGTGACATACATGTACATTTCTTACTGTTTCAATAGCTGCACTACAGACTCAGCAGTGTATGCATCAAGCCCTGTAGTTGGTTCATCAAGAAAGAGGAACTGAGGCTCTATTATGAGCTCCATACCAATGTTAGTCCTCTTTCTCTCTCCTCCGCTTATTCCTCTAAAGAACTCTGTACCAACCTAAAGCAATAATAAATAATAATGTCAATTTCCAACTCTTTCCTTTAATGTTAAACAGAGAAGGTAAAACATACAAAATGAACATTAAATAAAGATACAATATACATATCATGGTAAAGCTCATAATCTTCTGCTGCTTGTACTAAAGGCCTTTCTTTTAACAGCATTCAATAGATAACCAATGGCAGCTGGATCAGAAATACTATCAAAATATACATGATCCTGAAGATAGTGTGGAATCAATTGATGCGCATTCAATGCGCATTGATGAGCCGACTTCTGGAACCGGTTTAAGTGTAGAAAGGCTTTTAGTCAAAGAAGCTTTAATGCTGCCTTGTGTACATGTAAGCAAATATTTCTGTGTTCCTCCAAACAAATTTAGGCAAAGAATTCGGTTCTAATAAACTTAGCACTTAGTCAAACTAAGTTAGAGAGCTGCTCTTGCAATTATGGCATTCTTTGTAAGATTAAGTATAGACAAAACTCAATCATTTTAAATGTGAATCACTTCAAGATATATAATTATTAAGAATGTTAATAATAAGCTTAGCAATAACAACGATTATTAGCTGTTAAGTGCTAACAAATAAAACTAATTCATGTTTAGTAAAGTGCAATTCAACCAAAACATACATGTACATGTACATACAAGCATAGCTGCATAAACAAAATAAGCTTTCGACTATAGGATACGGTTATAATAATATCAACCTTAATTTATTAGTGTAAACTCAAGATGACACAGATGACCGCCTTAAGTAAACAGTGAATCTCAATTACTAAACCAGCAATAAATTACCATGGAAATCATGCTCTGTTGTGGTCAGTAATAAGTAGGTGCATCTATTTAATGACTGACCACACAGAGCATGTGTATAACACATTTCTGCCTGAAAAATCACAATACATCTGACAAAACTACTACTACTAGTACTACTACTACTTATTATTATTATTATTATTATTATTATAAAGAAAGACAAAAGCACAATACAACACAACACACAGACACACACAATAAAATGCAATAAGGACAAAACAAGAAATAAGAGAAACAAAACAAAACAAGATAAAAGATAAAACAAAGAACAAGAAAGAAAGAAAGTCAGCACTGGCCATGAATCCAAAACAGATGGGATGGTTACTATCTAACAATAGACCAATGACCCAAATAGAAGCATACCATTAAATGTAGTAGTTTCAGAATGCACAATAAACATTATTATACTCTACATGTGTACACAATGTGTGTGTATATATATACCTTAGTATCAGCACACTCATTCAGTCCAAGCTCATCAATCGTCTTTTTAACTCTTTCCTTCTTCTCTTCCCACGTCATTGTGTTGGGCAGACGGAGGGCAGCAGAGAAATAAAGATTCTCACGAACTGTTAGAGTACCCATCACCACATCATCCTGAAGGAAGAGAGAGAGGAAGGGAGAGAGAAAGAATTATAAATAAAAAATTAGGATGCATGTACATGTATCTTGTGTAATTATATTCCCAAGAGTATATACATGTACATGTACATTTCATTTAGCAGTAAGCTACTCTGATATTTACATGCAAGCGCAAATTATACATGTATGTTTCTATCAAGGGACTAATAAATGTAAAAGTTTATACTCTTGTACATATAGAGTGATTTTCCTTAAACTTGCATGATAGGCAAGCAGAAATGTGCTATATGAACATGCTCTAGCTGTTGTGGTCAGTATTAAGTAGGTGCATCCATTTAATTCTTGACCACAACAGAGCGTGTTCATAACACATTTCTGCTTGTCTATCATGCAAGTTTAAGGAAAATCACTGTACATGTATAGCAAATTGCAAACCAATTCATAAACCAATCTATGAACTTCAAAAGGATTGTCTAAATTGAGGTGTGTCTTGTATTGTGTGGTCACATAACCACCTACAGTTGGGTCTATGCAAATCCTGTACATATACTTGTATGTGATTGATTTACTTGAACAACATATCCACTGGCACACTTAAAGTTATCAGGCTGTCTCTCTCCATTGATCAATACTTTACCAGCAATACCTTTCTTTCCTTTACGACCAGCCAATATGTCCAAGAGACTGAGAGAGAAAGAGAGAGAGGGGGGGAAGAAAGAGAGAGGATAAGAGAAAAGTTAATAAGCATAAAAAGAGAAATTTAAGACATAAAGAGATAAAGAAGTACTAATAAGAAAATCTACTACACACTACAATGTACATTAGGCCAATTATACTCCATAATGTTTGTACACAAAACAAAATATCGAATGCCCCCAAACATAATAAGTACAGTACCTATTACACAATAAATAACACATAGGGGGCATATTTCTCCAGGAAATATTTCACAAAAAGCATCTTTCAACCTATATTCACAAGAAATTTTTTTTTGCGTTTTTTTTCTACTGACCATTATCAGTATGAAAAAATGATAATAATTATGATGAATCTATGTGAATTAAAATTATACATGTACAATATGGTATATTCGGTACATGAAATACCGTACGGTTGGTAATATTCGAGGGTCCAAAATTTTGTGTTTTCTCCAAAATGTCCTTAGAAGCTAATATTCGTGGGTACAAATATTCATGGATGGCAGTTAGCAAACTTCTTTTCACTTGGATCTACTGGACTAGCTTCCAACACATGGCTTATAGTGGAATATGGAGTAATAGACAAAGACTTTGGCTCCTCCACTGGCTTGGAAATGGTAGTTAGAACTCTGCATGGCCCGTTAATTAGTTTTTATGTGTGGGTGGGTAGGGGTTAAAATTTCGTGGATAAAAATTAACCACGAAATTAACGAAAATTAATACCCCACGAAATTTACCAACCGTACGGTACTACATGTATGTGTAGTATACTTCATGGAATCTGAGTATATGTATATGGTATAGTACTATACAAATACTTAGTACTATACAAATACTTAGTACTGCTTGCCTTGTTTTTCCACTGCCAGTTGGTCCCATGATAGCGTTAAGTCCAGGCTCCATTAGTCCAGTGATGTCTTGTAGTATCGTTTTATTTGGTAGCCTCTTGCAGCACCTCCACTGTCCTATCTCATACCCTATACCATTAAAGCTTATACCTTGTGAACCAAAACTCTGTGAAATAAAAGTATAAGGAATGTAACCGTATAGCAGGAAATTTTGGAGGGAATTAAATTTGGCAAATTGGTGTTTTGATAGTACTTCGGCAAAATAAAAATCTGTCATTTTCAGCCATTATACGCATGCTCAATGGCACGTGGCCACAAATTCACCAAATTAAAATCTACCAATCACCAAAATTTAGAAATTCATCAAATTTTACTTCCTCCAAAATTTCCCGCTTTACGGTATACTAGCAAGGTAACGTAATACATTAAGTTGTATTCTCCCTCATTTAATGCATGAGTCATTATTCAATTTATACATTTACTTACCTTTGAGTCATTGATGGTGATAAAGGCAGTTGAAACGTGAACGTTATTTGCTAAAAAACAAATACAATATATGTTTATGGAGTAAAATCACACAAAACAAGGACAATCTATTTTATATACAAAATTTTTAAAAAGCCACAGACTAATTCACTTACAATGGCTGTTTAGTAATGCTTGTGGTTAGTATAAAGATAAGTACCATACTACTGCTACTCTTGCACTACGAAGAGGCTTTTTTTCATTGAAAGACTGAGGCTATGTTTACACAGCAACGCAAATGCATCATTTTAAAAGTATCCACTTTGAACACCATTTTTGCTTCCATAGAGTCCTATCAAGATTATATCACGTTTTCATTTGTTTCTATGTAAACAGAAGCATAAAACAGGCACAAAACTATACTGATTGAATCGTTTTTGTTGCTGTGTAAAAGTGGCTTGAATGCCATTAAAAGAGAACAAAGGATTACACTTATGGTGCTAATGATGAGCTGAGTGTGTGGTATTTAGCATTCTCAGCAGGTATTGAAACACTGACACGTATAGTAAACTGCTAGTAATACATTAAGAAATCCCAAGATGCATATAATTTGGAGTTTATATTTCACAAAAAAAGCTCATAGTTGCCTAATGATGCTGAAATGACCACACCTTTGATTAATGAGTTGATAAAGAAGAAAAGCCACTTTAGTTCTTGGCAATATTATAGGTACAGGCAGTAAAATACTGTGTCCATAAAGTTGTACAAGCATAAATGGGGGGGGGGGGACAGCAACTATATGCAGTAGTTTGAAGAGGTTAAATTGTAGGTGAAGATTGAACATAAAATTAGAGCAAGCATTTCAAAAAGTTACGGTCAGACCTCTCCATAAGTTTACATTAGAGTTGGGAATAGTAAATATCATAGCCGAGTCTTATGTTCATTACAAATTATCACTACTACGCGTTGACCTTTCTTGACCTATTGTACTTATTAACCTTCATTCTTGGACGGAACAACTTTTAGCTGACGGCCAGGACTCCCATTGCTTTCTTCTGTAACAAAGGAAGGAAAGATGAACAATAGAGCATGATAAAAGCTATGGCGCACTCACGGACTGTCTCTAAATCCACGATATCCATACTTCGACCTCCTCTGTCTTGTTGAGTTGAGCTTGTTATGTAATCAAAGCACACGTGTAATCTTGCATAATGAATTAATTAACACACCAGCTAAATTGGGTGTGGCTCATTTGCAAAAAAAGTAAGGGCGGGGCTGGATGATGACAAGATGAGATACTTCTTCAAAATAAAAAACAACAGAAAGCTTTTGCTCTTTCTCTTGCCGTCAGTACTCTTTTTCATATACCTTTCATCCTACATAGGAGTGGGGTCAATTAAGGAGGGAGAAAACTTTGAGTTTGAGCCTGAGGACATAGTAGCCCAGGAGATTGTCATCCTACCACCTGAAAACAAGAATGAGAATGACCCCCCAATTTTGATATGGTGGACCCCGTTTACTCCAAACAAGAGGATCCTACGGTCCTGCTCAGCCGGGCAATGTCTAATTACGCATAGCAGAGCAGAAATAGATAATCCAAGGACAGAGGCTGTCATATTCTATGGCTCAAGCTTAAAGTGGACCGACCTTCCCTTGCCAAGGAGAACTGAGGTTTATTGGGCATTGCTACATGAAGAATCCCCAAAGAATAACTGGGGACTGACCAGCCCTGAGGGCATATCATTATTTAATCTCACGTCTACTCCTAGTCGTAATTCATCCTATCCACTTGTCACTCAGTACCTAAAAGGTCTCAAGAATCTTCTCCGTCCACTAAAGACCCCGATCGAAGAAAAGAGTACAGGCGATAAAGGTCTTGTGATGTACCTGCAGCTTGATTGTGATCCTCCATCAGATAGAGACTCGTATGTTAAGGAACTAATGAAATACATTAAAATAGACTCGTATGGTCAGTGCCTGCATAATAAGGACCTGCCCAAAGGACTCAGAGATCCTGCGACTGGAGCAGACTCTGAGGAGCTGCTCAATATCATATCGCAATACAAATTTGCAATAGCCATAGAGAATGCAATATGCAATGATTACATCACCGAGAAGTTTTGGAGACCATTTTATGCCGGGACAGTACCCATTGTGAAGGGCTCGCCAACAATTAGAGACTGGGCACCAAGCAATCACTCTATGATACTAATAGATGACTATCCATCACCTAAAGAACTGGCTCATTACTTGCACTACCTGAATGAGAATGACAACAAGTATGCAGAGTATCTGGAATACAAACAAGCAGGGATTGGAAATGTAAAACTCATTGATGCAGTAGAGAAGAGGGAATGGCAGATTAATGACTACACATCAGGCTCCATCACTCACATTGATAGCTTTGAATGTTTTGTATGCAACAAAGCAATAGAGAAGAGAAAGGGGCTAGAAAGACAGCCACTTGTAGCTAACAGCAGTCATTATAACTGCCAATATCCCCAGCCCCTAGTTAAAAGAGCAAAGACTGATGCTTGGTGGAAAGACATGTTACTGGTATGGAGACAAGCAATGAGTACAGAAAGGAAGCGAATGGTAGCCATTACTAAAGCTATAAAAGAAGGGAAAGGACAGTCAGAAGTTGAGAGTGCATATAATAGTGTGAAATTACCTGATGATGTAAAATATAGTGATGATTTATTTCAATGATACTATTCTTTTTGTAGATCAATAGCATTTAGGTCATCAGTAAATTTATCAAAACATTATGAATATATATTGTGTCACAACTTTATATTTAAGTTTGATAGTTTTAACTAAAGTTAAATTTTACTAAACACAGAAGAAAATTACAATACATAAACTGAAATAAAATATGCAAGAACAAAATGATAATATTATGAGTTAAGAAGTGGTTCTCTTTCATTGCACGACTGATAAAAGGAATCACATTCATTTAAATTCCTTTGATGAGCAAGTGGACGATCAAACTTAGACTTAATAGTGACAAAAAGCTCATTCATTTTGTTGAAGAGTTTCTTTCCAAATGAAAAATGACTCATAATGACACAAAGCAAGATGATGATGATGATCAGATGACAGAACGTAGCTAGAATTGCCCATTTAATACTACCAGTGGCATCATTAATACACCATAAAGAACTAGTGACAATAATGATATCTGAATAAATTACTGTACTGAGAACATTGAGGTCCATACGCTTGAAAGGATGGGAAAATCCAACTATATTCAAGTACACGCAAGCAACTGCAATGCCAAATATTATACCAAGAGTTGGATTAGTACCAACAGAGACAGTACCAATTAAATATGTAAAAGCAACGAAAATTGTAGAGAATGAAAAAAAGAATTCTCTATTTGGTCTATACGGAGCATGAATTGCTTCATAAATTGGACGAAG